TACATTCAGGCGGTGCCAGCGGCTAAGTTCAGCCACTCAGTAGGGACTTTATTCTCGAAACAAGGGAGCAGCGTTTTCATGAGAACGAAGGTTCTGTCTTCGTCGTCCGTATTCATATTTCATAACACTGACAATGACAGAGCAATAGTTTTCATAAGAACGTTGTTCCTCGGTTTGGAGAATAAAGTCCCTGCTGAGTCGCTGAGCTTAGCCGCTGGCACCGCAATGTACCCAACGAATACTGTATACGTGCCAAATCCAGAAGTCAACTTGTCAGTAAGTCAAATGGTCAAGAAAACTTATTCTGTTGTCTTTGAAGCCACTGATTATTAAATTTTATTTTTTGATTGAATCGGCTTTTACTTGGTGGAAATCCATTATCTAATAAAAGATTTTTTAAGTAAATTTTAATACTTATATATTTCCACAATTTTTTTTTTTTGTTAAACTTTTAACATGTTTCGCTAAACTTTAGCTTCATCAGAAAGATTTTAGAAAAATAAAATGTAGACATAAAAGTGAAATTGGCAAATATAAAAAAGGTAAAAGCTGGTCTAATTTTATGTTAATTTAAATAGGTATTACACAGTAAATTTATTTAATTGTTGTTTAAGTGTTGTAATACCTATTTAAATTAACATAAAATTAGACCAGCTTTTACCTTTTTTATATTTGTCAATTTCACTTTTATGTCTACATTTTATTTTTCTAAAATCTTTCTGATGAAGCTAAAGTTTAGCGAAACATGTTAAAAGTTTAACAAAAAAAAAAAAAATTGTGGAAATATATAAGTATTAAAATTTACTTAAAAAATCTTTTATTATTAAATTTTATGTTCCTCAGAAAAAATTATTGCAACAGGGACAATTGATTAAGATTTATTTAAACTAGAATTATTGAAAGATGAACATGTAGCATGCCATGCAGCAGCAGATCCAATGTTATGGCACCGTAAGCTAGGACACATAAATTTCAATAGTTTAAATGAAGTAAAAAATGGTATGGCATCCGGAATAGATTTCACAGGTTCTCCGCCTGAATGCAAATGCGAAATATACAATATACGTCAAAGGGAAATGCCACAGGCTACCATTTAAAGACAGTGAATCGCATACTAAAGAATTTTTAGAAATAGTGAATTCATAGCTTTGTGGACTTATTGAGGTCACCAGTTTAGCAGGTTCGCGGTATATGCTTACTTTTTTGGACGATTTCACGCATAACATTTTTGTATATTTTATCAAAACGAAAGGAGAAACTTTCGCTTACTTCAATACTTTTAAAAAATTAGTGGAAAATCAGACCGGTGCAACAATTAAGACTATCCGTACAGACAATGGGGGTTAATATGTCAGTGCTGCGTCCCAAAATTTGAAAGACTCTGGTATAGTACATCAGCTAACTGTGCCAAGAACAGCTGAGCAGAACGGCAAGGCAGAACATTTGAATCGGACAATTTTTGAAATAACGAGGTGTATGCTGATTGACACAAGCCTTTTCTACATAAAAAAAAAATTGAAAGCATCGACAGTTTTACATTGTATTGCCAACATAATGTCATTTTTACTTTTACCTTTGAAAAAAAAAAAGACTTTACTTCTCATAGTAATTTCAGAAGTTTTAGTTATCTGTCAAACTAGTTTCATAATACCCGCACTTGGTGAAGAATTTGGGCAATGTACAACGACAACAGTTTTGAATATTGACAATCGAGGCGCCATAAATTTAGCAAAAAATGGGGCTTACCATGCAAGAACCAAACGCATAGATGTAAGACATCATTTTCTCGAAGAGAAGATAGGTGAAAAATTATTAGAAATGAGATATGTCTCTACAGAAAAGCAAACAGCGGATTCTCTGACTCAAGCTGTTCATAAGAAGAAAACTTATTTGTGTGCGAAGAATCAAGGTTTAGGTTATTTTAAATAGAAGGTTTGTTGAAATATATTTATCTACAAGCGTTTGGTTATGAATTTTTACATTTTCCTAGTATTTGAGCTATGTCATAAGACTCATAACATAACTAGTGGTGTTATGGACTAGGATATGAACTCATAACACAACTTGTGGTGTTATGGGCTAGGTTATGAATCTATAACACAACTATTTTTGGTGACTTGACAATTGTCAAAGTTAAACCTGTAAAGGTAAAATGAAGGTAGACAACTACTAATAAATAAAAATAATTCAAAAAACATCCTTTGTAGATCAAACGTTGTACATCACACATGCGTTTAAACATGACTACAAAACTCGTGTGATTAGAACGACCTGGTCTACGACCTCGTCGTTCTAATCTTTCACACTCGTTATCATAATCATGTTCATAAACGCACTTGGAATGTAAATAACTATTATCTACAAGCGTTTGGTTATGGCGTTTTTACATGATCAGTTTTCTAAAGTCTGTTTTTTTTAAAGATAATTCCCCAAGTCAAAAATTTAGTAACTATGTTGGCAACACAAGCCTTTCCTACATAAAAATTTGAAAGCATTGACAATTTTACATTGTATTGCCAACATAATGTCATTTTGACTTTTATCTTAAAAAAAAAAACAGATTTTAGTATTTGAGTTATGTCATGAAACTCATAACAAAACTGACAGAACAGTGGTGTTATGGACTAGGTTATGAATTTATAACAGAACCATTTTTGGTGATTTGACAAATGTCAAAGTTAAACCTGTAAACTTAAAATTAAGGTAGACAACGACTAATAAACGAAAATAATTGAAAAAACGTTCTCATTTTTCGCTTTGTAGATAAAACGTTGTACATCACACGTGCATTTAAACATGACTACAAAACTCGTGGGATTATGTCATTATGATCCTCGGCTATCGCCTCGGATCACAAACTTCAGCCCGGCCATTATTTGCTATTTATCGGCCTTATAACGTTAATAATTATATTAAAACTGTTTTTGCCTTTAATAAACTTTTACTCGACTCCATGAAGATTCCCTGCCGACAGAGACTTCAGTAGGCACTGAGTCTATTGAGGTGAGCACCACTCGAGGCACTCCCCAGGGTTAAGTGTGCCATCTGCAGCTTAGTGGTGGAAAAGGTACTAGGAGCACTGAACAACCTGGGCTTACACTGCGTTGGCTATGCCTATGACATCGTCATCATAGCGAGAGAAAATTTCGATGGCAACTAATGTGAACTCATACAGACTGGACTCAAAGCAACGGAGGAATAGTGCCAAACAGTGGGACTGAAGAAAAACTCATCAAACATCACCGTAGGGACTTTTATTGGGAAGAGAAAACTCTATAGAATGAAGGACATAATACACGGAACTACTATTAAACCGGTGGGAGATATCTTGGCATACCGATGGAATCCAAACTCATTGAAGGAGTTGTAACCAAGGCTACAAGGGCTGTTATCGTGTTCCGAAACATTGCCGGCAAAATCTGGGGATGCAAACCAGGGATCTTGAGATGGATGTACACCATGAAGACCAACCCTTTTATATGAATCGATAGTTTGGTTCAAGGAAGTTCAGAATCAGAACATAACAGCAGCTCTCAATAAACTACAGCGCCTGGCAGATGCATTACGGGCGTAATGAAAGCTTCTCCCACAACAGCCTTCAAGACAATTGTAATTCTTGCACCTCTTCACATCGTGGTGGATGGGGCTGCTACACGAGCAATAATTAGAATCACGAGGAAGGGCGCTGGCGACGAAGGTTGGCTTGGAAGGAGTTAATTGACATGTCTAATCAAGCGTATTCCGCTTCTCGAGCTCCCCAAGGATGAACAAATTATATAGTTTTGAGAAACGCTTCACAGTAGTGATAAGAAGCAGAGAAGAATGGAGAGGAAACACCACATCCATTCTTACAATGCAGCAGAACGCCATAAAATTGTATACTGATGGGGTTGATAACTGAACAAGGGACCGGAGCCGGAGTACTTGGGCCTGGGATCAAGTTGCACTTAGTGATTTTTCTGAACATGCGATTGGTTCAATTTAAGAATTGACTTCATCACCGGCAAATAGCTGATATAGATCAAGCAATAAAATCACATGTTGATGCTGTTGATGGACTTCATGAAATATTGAAAGCAAGGAGAATAACCGGACAAGAAGCATCGCACCGACATGTAGCACTTTCACAAACAATAAGATCGAAGATCAAACATAAAAACAAGAAGAGAAAGACCAAAGACAGAAAGAAAAAGGAGAACAGCCTAAGAAAAATTTAAAATTTTAGCGAGAATGGATTTAAACCGTAATCTCTGAGGAACAAACCACATTTAAAATAATCTCATCAGTAGATAATAGGTTTTCCTATTCTGGGTTTTCCCACGAACTGAATTTTGGTCGGCCGATTAGATAGTCAATCACTAGAGGCGTTTTCTCGCGTTCACTTTTTCGAAACTGGTTCAAAACTGTTTTGAAACAGTACATTCTCGCGATAAACCTATGACGTCACGTCAAAATTGGTTCAAACATTTTCGAAATACAATCTAATCCACGTTTTCAAACCATTTTCTCGCGCCGAGAAATTATGACGTCATGGTGACATTTTTTAAACCAGTTTTGAAAAATGTTTAGAAGCATATGAGACGCGAGAAAACGCCTTAAATTACAGCAAAAATTTCTGTTTAGTGTGGAATCTTTGTCTTAGATGGCGCCACGATCAAATTTCGACCGTTGTACTATATTTAAAATAATCAAAGATTTCGACAAAAGCCCAAAAAATATAGTTTTAATAATACAGTATGAAATCCACCACTGTTACAATTATAAAACACATCACTGCAGTTACTCCGTACTTTAAACGGGCCTTGTAACGTAAATTACTATTTCATTAACTTTTATTCATTTATAAGCCACTTTACCCCAACTGTCATGACCAATACGAAAAAGTTCCATTATCTCGCTCAGCTTGATATTTTTCGCATACTTACCATAAACTGAATTCCATTTAAAAAAGTTGAAGCACCGCCTACTTCTAATTCTCTTCAATTCCGTTTATTTTTCAGGTCCGTACGTTTTGGTTTGGAAAAGAGGGATAGCCGTGCTATCGGCGGGCAAAACCCTGGTTTCTCCAGATCCAAGAGTGATTCTCAACACCGATTACAGTTTGGAGATCAAAGAAGTGGGTCCACAAGATGCTGGCGATTACGTGTGTCAGATCGGCACTTTGGAACCGAAAGAGATCACTCATACTGTCGAAATTTTAGGTGAGAACATAATTTTACTAAACTTACGATTCTGATTTTTTTAATTAAAAAGTTTCGAAAGCCATAAAAGCCGTCCCACTTTTTAAAACTATGAAAATTTTACGGTTTATGCAATAGCGGATAGAATAATGGACTGTCCTCTATGAGAAGTGATAACTTTTATGCTCTGGCGTACGTCCAAAAACTTTTTCGGATAGAGCGTATGCATTTGAACGTAACTAATATTGAAAGTCGTGCAGCAGAGAGAACAGAATTGCACGACTGTCATAAAGAATTAATTTGTTTTCAGTTTTGAAAAGTGTAGAATCTTCACTTTTTTAAATTATTCATGAATCTATTGTGAAAAGTTCAGGTTTTCGAATATCAATATACTTTGATAAAACTAGCTTTTTAATAAATAAAATATTCAGATAGAATTTTAAGGATCATAATTTAAACATAAATAAAATCCTCATTATAGCCATTCTAAAAAATTCTGTTTAATTTCCTAATGTTTCCTTCGTTCGGCTTTTAAAAGCCCTGGACCTTGATTGTATTAAATTTTGTTTCAAGACTTTGTTTTTAAAAAGCGTTTTAGCATTTTAGAAGCTAATGAAATATTCTTATCGTCATCTTTATTATGGAAATGGTTGGTTTTATGATATTGAAGGCACGGTTATAATTTTAATGTTTTTTTTTTTGAATATTAAAACATAATTCAATCTAGAAAATGTTTAGATTTCTCAAATGAAACATTACAAAATCTGTCATTGCCAATGAAAAATTGACTTTTGAATTTTTCAGGTAGGTAATATTCTAAGAATATTTTCTTCGTTGTTCTTCTTTAAAACACATCCCCAGTCATTTCATATACGAAAACCTTAATATTTTTACCGTGGGACACAATATTTAAAAAATAATAAAAAAGGAATGTGCAAATATGTCATATAAACATAAAGTCTAAGGGCATTGTGTGTTTTTACCGACGGAAAAATATCTTCCCTTGCGACTTGGTAATTTATTGGGGACTCTTTCATTCAATTCTGTAGAAACTATATTATCCATATCTCTTTTAGGAAAAGCGACCATCAAATAAAGCAACTTGCTTTTTTTATGATAGTCTTTATTTTTGTCTTGGATTTTTCCATGTTTATGAGAAAAAGACGGAAAACTGATTTTGACTTTGTTGAATTAAATAACTTAGAAATAGATATGATATAACAATATATGTACTTAATTGAAATAGTATATTGTTTTATTCGGAGTAAAAAAGATACTTTTTGTGGCGAAACTAAATGTTTGGGATAGACAATTTTAGACAAGCCACAAAACGTGCTTTTCTCGGAATAAAACATGCGATTTTTTCCGCAAATGGTATTCAAACGATGGAATCAAGGAAATAAATTGTTAAAAAGGATTAGATGTAGGAAAATGTAAAATTACATTGCTCGACTTGGTTTATGGTTGATTAAATGTCTGTAACGTCACTTTTTGTTCGGCCGTGCGCGTACAAAAAAGTACACTTTTTTGTACGCTCACATCACGGCCGGACAAAAAAGTAACAAAAACATTAAGAATTGAGGTTAAAAAAGTCGCTATTTTATGACGTTTGCGGCTAAATACTTTTTCAAATTCCTTCATGAATCTTCTATAATATCCTAATAAACCTAAAAATCCTTTGATTTGTTTCGTCGTCTTTGGAATGGGGAACTCCTGGATAGCTTTAATTTTATCGGGATTAGGTTTGACACCATTTGCTGTTACAACGTGCCCTAGATAGGCCACTTCCTTCCTTAGAAACTCTGACTTATCCAGCTGAATTTTAAAGTTGGATTCCCGTAATCTTTGGAATACACTTCTTAGTCTGTCCGAGTGTTCCTGGAGTGAACTTGAGAACACAATGATTCTCGTCTAGGTGGCCGAAGCATTTTTTATTTTGTATACCGCGAAGAATGTTATCCATAACTCGTTGGAATGTAGCCGGCGCGTTCTTTAAACCAAAGGGCATGAGCAAGAATTCATAATGCCCGTTATAATTTGGTTTTGAGCCAGGTTTTTCAAAAACTTGCGAAATAATGAAATATTTGTGGTGGTCCATTAAAATTGTGTCTGACGTGCACAGGCTGTGATGGAAAACTAGTTAAAAGCATATTGAGAAGTTTGTTGATTGAAACTGGATTAGGAATTATTAGTTTGATTGTTAGTTTAGAAACTATTATTGTTTTTGAAAGTATTGGGACCGGATTTAGTCTGATATTGAAAATAATTTACATTATGCTCCTCGCTGACAAATTGAATAGCTTGCATCAAATTTTGAGGTCGCATACATCTGATTGTAGTACCAAGAGGCTCCCTCAAGCCTGACAAAAAGGTTTTTAGGGCCAGGTCGTTGTATAACTTCCTCTTTAGAATTTTAGCTGCATCATGAGAATCAATAAATAAACATAATAAATTTAAAATATGTAGAACATTGTCATAAAATTGACTTGGTTTTTCGTTGGGTAATTGTTTCCTCATAACCAAATTCCTATCCAAACAAGCCTCATCTCTCTGATCAGCAAAGTTTCGGCGAAGGGTGTCTTTGAGATCATCCCAAGTGCTGACATTTTGAATGTTATTGATAAGTTTTGCTTGGCCTGAAAGTTTACCGATCAGTGAATTCAACAAGTAGATATTTTGAAAATCGATGGGACTTGCAGCTTTATAAAAGGTATCTATTAATAGAGAGTTTTCGTTGTCTTTTAAAAACGATTCCGATAGCCGCTATTTGACAAATTTGACATTTGAGCTATCATTTATCGTTATCGTTACCGATAAGTGCCGGGAGTTTACGGACGGAAGACAAAACCATAGCGAAAGCGGAAAGCATGCGTATTTCCTATGTTTTTGTTGTGGTTTGTTTTTGTTTTTAAATGTTTTTGGTTTTCGAAAATTCCCTCAAAAGATCGAGAAATCGTTTCACGGATGAGGACAATATTATTTATTATTTCATGTGCAATCGAGTGATCCATCCCGAAAATCTCGCACTATTTTTTATAATTCTGTCCACATAATTTTTTAAGTACAAGCCCTGATGAAGCCCTAAACTTTTGGGCGTAACGTTGGCAAATACTTAACAGGCCTTTTATTTTTTGTCCTAACCGACGAATCACCCCCCTTCATTGGATACCGATAGGACACAAACTTCTCTTTATCATTTATTATTTTAATAGAAGAAGTATGGGCCAACAACCCATATAACGATACATCTATAATTATGCTTTTGTAGTAGCCAATTTTGTAAAGCACACAGGGAAAATTAATGAATTTTGTGTACTAGGAAATTAAAACAAAGTACAAAACGTATATAAATACAAACAATTAAAGAAAGGTTATGTTTGTCGAATTCGACTTAACGTTAACGTTAAGCGGATTGAACGAAAACTATTTTGACGATCTGTCAAATAGCGACTTTGTCTTCGTATTCGTTATGGTTAACCGTTCGAATTTGGCAATACAACGAAAACTGTCTAATGTCTGACAAGTAGCAATATTCAATTCGTTTGAGTTCTCGTCAAAAGTCGGGACACAGTTAAAATACTCTGGCTTAAATTGTGAAATGTTAGAATTATTATTAGTTGAAGGAGTATTTGAAATAAAGGTATTATTCAATGAATCCGTATCGCTATCAGAGTCGGTGTCGGCTGAAGACGGTATTCCTAAGTTTTCAAAATTTGTTAAAAGGTTTTTAATCGACATAAAATTTTAATCAATTACACTACTTATATAAGCAAAAACACTGCTCTCATCATTCCTCTCTAAGATACTTAGTTTTGATTGGGCGATGTGGTTCTTCTCAAAATCTAACTCCTTGCGAAGACAGGCGATTTGGTCCTATCCTCCGATGATTGGTTGATCAATGGTCTTCCACAGCTCTTCGATAGACTGGGAATTTTTCAATGTTCGGAAAAAATCCACTCTGCTTAGAAACTTTCCGGTAAATCGCTGTGACGAGAAATTGATTGATCGATTCGTATCAATTCCCGGAAATCCGCTCCAACTGCGCCAAATAACTTATACGAACGACGAGAGTTGTTTTTAAAAAATTTATTTTACAAGAATTTAAATGAGAACAATAATGAGCGATTGAAATTTAACTACTGACTAACTAACTAATTGTTGTTTCTATATTTATATTAGGTCTCGGCTTGACATTCGATGCTGCTGATCCAGATATAACTCACTCCTTTTCCTTTGTCTGAATATTCAAGTTTAAGTAGGTACCTACTCTTCTTTTTTAATGTGTTTTTTGTTGTGTTATTATGAGCTTTCCTCCTTTTGATATCTCCGATTTTATTTTTAATCAACTTTGTATTAGTCTTATTTTTCATAACCTGAAGTTTTCCGGTTCATTTATCTCATATGTGAATCAATTTTGCTAAAGTACTCTTGTTGTTTGTTTTTGTTTGTACTGTAAGCGTTGTTTTCGGAAAGTTCGTCTATTCCCCTCGAAAATCCACATAAAGCCGTCACTCGTTGTAGATTTTTTCCCCTTTTATGTACCGATTAAGGATTTTCTGAACCCCAGACACGGCAATTTTGTTTATTGACAAATTCAAATGCAAGGGTGTCTCATCGCTGAAAATGGTTTTAGTCGCAAAATCGTCGACTTCTTGTTTTTTCCTCAGAAACTAACTAACAAAATCCTGCCTCTTGTGGTGAAAGGACAATTAAATTTCCTCGTTTATCTGAATTTTATAGAGGTGGTAATGGAGAGCATTAAGCCACGGTGGACCAACAGAAAGTGAAAAAAAATAGAAGGCGATTAGAAGCCAGCGGCTCTTTTTCAATCTCCTTTTATGAAACTGCCTCCAACAATTTACAAGAGATATAAATCAGAGACAGAAAGATAGTAAAAATATAATAAAAGCTTTGTACGTCACTTGTACAAAAATTATAACTTCAAAAGCAACTTTTATTTAATTTGAATATCTTTCCAAAATCTTAAAGTAAATGAAAGTATTTCTTCCCTGAAACAATGA